CCATTCCAAACTCTCAAAAGCCTCTCTTTTCTTTCCTTTTTCTGGCAGCTGGCCGCTGGCAGCTTAGGAGACCGGAGCTGGCGGTTCGGCTCCGAAGCACGTGGAGCAGCTCCTCGGAGCGTTTTGTTTTTTTGTTTTTTTGTCTCCCTTTGCTTCCTTTCTCCCGGTGTGCTTCAAGTTGCTCTTGGCTTCCTTGAAAAAGGCATGTTTCTCACGAAGAGTTTCACTGCTTTCCTCCCATTCATCCACCGCGTGTCATTGACTCATGCGTGTTTGGAAGCATGTTGGCCCTCTCATGTTTCTCCAAGCTTGTTCGTTTTTTTTTGTTTTGTTATTTCTTCTTCTGGTCTTGGCCTCATCCAGAAGGGTTGTCGCGGGAGAGCAATCCTCGGCCGGAGCGAGGTTCGTGGAGGAAGGCCACCTGCGCCGAAGCCTGAGTCGCGAACTGCCTCGAGTGCATATTCGGCAAATGCGGGTGTGCCCATTTTTTTGGCGGATCGGACCTCTCCAAAGTGGTTGGCATTCCTTTTGGTACCCCTTTAATGCAACACGAAACAGTAACAGGGACCCCTCACAAGAAGACAGGCCCAAAGTCAGCCAAGTCGTGGTTTCAAGCGAAAGAACCCGAGTCCACGGCAAGACACACATGTTGCATAGGTGTTGGCCTGTGTTGGTCGGACGCCCGGTTTTGTTTTTTCAGGCTGGGACTCCCTGGGGGAGTTCCTGGCTCTGGAGCCGGCTCTCATGGACATTGGCACCAAGGGCGGTAATGAGAAGGCAAGGGAAGCGAAGGGAGGGGAAGGGAGGGCACGTTGGAGACATTGGCGTCGTTTCGATCCCGCTTGGCTTCTCTCCTCTTCTTTCTTCCTTTGGGTGTGCTTGTTCTTTTTGAGGGTACCTGGTCTTCTGGCGGTTTTTTCTAAGGGACCGGCCTTAAAACGACCCACCCTTTCCGCTTTCCGCAGAAATCCGCCGAACAGCCGCCGAAGATGCGCCGAAGTTCGCGCCGCGAGGCAGTGGTGCTCTCCAAGGCCTTGGGCGCCGCCATCGAGAAGTTCCTGGAGGAGAACAAGTCCCCGTCGCGCAAGGCGCGCGGATGCGTGCGGATGCGATTTCGCATGCGCGTGGCAGTCAGACGTAGCTTCAGATATGGGTTGTTTGTTTTTCTTGGGGTGGGGGTGGGTGGGGTGGGGTGGGGTGGCAGATCTCTTCAAGTTTCCGTGTTTTGCAAAATCGGCGAGGTGAATGAGATTGACAACAGAGGAAGCCGCCTTCTTAGGTGTGCGGCGAAAAACCAGGGGGCATTCAAACTAAAAACAAAACGCTGAGGCCACTTTTACCTCTGCCTCTACTGGCTGGAGGCACTGGCGAACCAGTCTGAGGACGAGCAGCTCAAGGCGCAGTTCACCGCCGGCTTGGCCAAGTTGAAGGAATGCGAAGAGCAGATCGCTCAGGACAGATTGCAGATTTTTTTGCGAATTCGCCATGCACTCGCCATGAACTCCCTGAATTCGCCATGAATTCGCCCGACAGGATCTCGTGAAATGCCAAGGCAAGGCTGTTGACATTGGCGGCGCCTTGCTCAGAGTGTGGCTGAGAGGATTTGAGGTAGGTGTGTCGAGAGAGATGGCAAGTGTCGAAACACGAGGCTACTACCACCCCGACCCCCGCAAGCTCCGCAGCTTGGCAGCCTTTGCGCTCGAGTGCCGGAGCTCTCACTAATGGCACTCAGGCATTTGCATGCGCCCCAGCGACACCTTCAATCGAGCCCGGGCAGCAGATTGCGGGGGCTTGGTCGTGCGCGCCTGTGCACGCGCACTTGGCTGTGTTTGGTGCAAATGCTCTCTTCCCACGTGGGATGCGATGCTTGCACAGGTATGGGTATGTGACAAATGTGTGATGTGATGCCAGTCCTTTTAGCTCTTAGGTTGTTTCCATGATGGCATGGGTTTGTCTCAAAATAGAGGACCCCCCGGTTTCCTTTAGGTTTGCCTTGAAACCGTCCAAGACAGGGGTTTGTAAAAAAAGGACAGACCCAAACATCATTTTTCAGGTGATTGCGACAAGGTGAAAGGGTGAACGAACTGGCAATGGCTGGTTGAAGGCCTCGCGGCTGGCCGGCTGGCCGGCTGGCCGGCTGGCCAGCCTGCATGTGTGAGTTGGTTTGTTGGTTGGTTGGCTGGTTGGTTGGTTGGTTGGCTGGTTGGTTGGTTGGTTGGGTGGTTGGTTGGACGGATGGATGTTGGGCAGAGAGGGAAGATATTGGCAGCGTCGATGGATAGAACGTCACTAACACGCGCAAAGTGCGTGCAAGGAGTCTTGAGCTACGTGCAGTACTGGAAGCCGTTGCGCAAGCCGAAGTTTATCAAGGTGGGTGAGGTTGCGCCCGACGCGCGGGGCGTCAATCTGATGCTGAGTCTTGTCATTTCAGAGCAGCTGCTGACTGAAGCGGATACCAGAGCAGATTTGTACTGACGCAAGCTCAGCCACTCAGCCTGTGTCTTGCCAAGGAAGTGCGTCTCATGCACCGAGACAAAAGCGTCCGAGAACAACTCGTCAGGCCGTTCAAATAGTTGAAAGGTTTTAGGAAGGCCGGTGTCGCGGTCCCCAAAAAATTCCAACATTCTTCAATTGCCGTAACAATTGTTTGGCGATACGACAATTGTTTTGACAAATGTTTTGCAAAGCCTGTCCATGTAAAACAATTGTTTGGAAAATTGCTTTGCAAAGCCTGTCAAGTCAAACTACAAAGATTGTTTGGACAATTGTTTTGCAAAACAACCTGCGTAACCCCGGCAGTTTAATTTTGAGCCACATCCATTTGGTGATTAGCAGGCCGAGCCGTCTTTCAACGTCAAAGTAAAGCTAAGTGAGTTCTAACAGCTCGATTCACTATTGCAAGATGCCCCTACTTGCTGAACTTACAGGTTCACAAAGCAAATGCCCAAAAAGCCGTCATGCTGCTGTAAACATTTGTTTTTTGCTGTAAACATATTTTGAAAGATTTGCAAAACAATTGTCAAACAGTTATTGTCATAAGTTATTGTGTTTTGACAGGTTTTGCAAAGCAACTCTTCAAACAGGTCCATGTTTCCACTTGCCAGGGTTTCATTTTGGGTACGGTTTTGTGGGTACGGTTTTGTGAGCCACAGCCAAATAAGAACTAACATCTAATACATATATATATATATATTATATTATATCTATATCTACTCCCGATGAGGTTTCGGGCATCGGGCAGCCAACCAAACTGCGACTAGTACGGAAAGGATTGCCGTCATGTGCCAACATCGGCCTTTCCTTTGTTCTGCGGTCCGTGAAAGAGGAAGCGACAGGAAGCACGTGGGACCAGTAGGAACCCAAGTCCGTAAGCAAGTAAGTAAGGAAGTAACTAGAAAAGTAAGTAAGGAAGTAAGTAACTACCCCCCCCCCCCAAAAAAAAAACAAAAAAAAAAACACAAAAAGACAGAAAGGAATGACCAAGGCCCTAGCGCGCTCTGGTCCATAAGCAACAAGCGTTGCCCGCTCTGCAAGTAAAATACCTCGTCCGCAAGTAAGGAAGAAGGAAAGTAGCAAGTACGTAAGCAAGTAAGGAAGCAAAGAAAGTAAGCAAGCAAGCAAGTAAGTGAGTAAGTAAGTAAAGTAATGGACAAGTAAGACTTTTGAACACTTGTCAAAACAATCATTCTTCGTAGAAACCATTGTCAAAGCAATCGTTTTCCTTCAACACAATTGTCGAAACAATCGCGCGTGCTGGAGAAAAACTGCGACGCTTTCTGGGCCCCCCTGAATTAGCCGGCTTTCTAAAACCATTCAACAAATAGTTGTTTGAGTTCACCTTGCCGTGAGCACGGTGAGGTGCATGCTGGATTGCGTTGCTCAGGGCTGCGAATTTGGGAAGCCATTTGCGGAGATGAGACCGGCATGGTGACCTTGTCGATGCGAAGTCCCGAAGTCGCGGAGGCTGGCGCCCGGGCTTCGGTTCCATGGTCTTTACCGGCTGTCATATCGCGCAGGGAGCTGTTGTCGTTCAAGTTTTGTGAAGATGGGCATGGGCCCAAATTGAACCACCAGGATTGGGCCGCAGATTTTAGTCCATGGAGTCCTAACATGCCATTTGCAGGTTCCATTTTGGGTGCAGAGTGTTGACCCGCCAGATTTTGACTCTGATTCGTTCTGATCCAGGTGTGCAAGCCAGACGCCTCCCTGCGGCTGCAGAACGCCAGAGCCCGGCCGCCCAAACCCATGAGCCTTCTGTGAAAACTCCAGAGACTCGAGACTAGGTGGTCATGGTGAAAGGCTACATCAGGCTGAATGTGGACAAGTGGGCTGCAACTTGGCCGTCATGGCTGCGGATTTGGTGCACACGAGCGCTGGCGTCGGCCAAGGTGCTGAAGCCGGCCGCAGAACCGCTGGACGTCACTCCAAACGCAAAGCATCCCGGCAGCACTGTTTCCAAGAAGACAATGCCCGAAATTCGGGATAAGGAACGATATCTCAGCTGTGGAGTACGAGCTGACCTTGGCCTCTTGAGGCGGCTTGAGCGAGTAGTTTGCCCAGCGGCTTGAAGTAGCTGCAAGTGGTAAGCTGCATGTTAACGATACAGCTTGCGACTGCGAGCAGTCGAGCAGTCCACGCGTGAGACGGACACCTAAATCATGTTCGAGAGTTGTCGAGCATTGTTGAGCATGCGCAGTTTGCGCAGTCGCCAACAGCTGTGGAGTGCGGTGGGGGGCTGTCTTCCAGCAGTTGGGCTCTGTGTCCTCGTTCCAGCTTTTAAGCTATATGCACCGTATCCATTTCCCGCCGGGATCCTTGTAGAGGCGTGGCAATTTCGGCCTATGTCTTTTGCAATTGACCTGTGTCTCGAGCAAGGATCTCCGCTAGAGATATCTGAGTCTGAGCACCGCGAGAAAGACGGCCGCCCACGTCATTTCTGCTTGATCTTCGAATTCCTTTGGCATGTCCAGACCGGCTGAACCCCCGCAACCCTCTTTCAGGCTGCAGCATTTGATGCATCCAGCGGCGGCAAGCGCGAGCCTCGGCATAGGCATGGGGTTCTTCGTGTTTTTTGGGGGAGCCAGCAGCCTTGAGGCCCTGGCACGGACCGCTGCGCATCTTCAGAAATGAGCTCCTGGAGGGCTTGCAGGCACCGAATGAATGGCATCCACGGCAGCAGTTGTCACGTGCGTTTTTTTTCCACCAAAACGCTGGAATTCACGTGCAACCCGATTTTTGCCAGCTGAACTTCTATGCCAAGACTCCGGTGCGGCCGCTGCGCAGCTACGAGGAGATCATTCGAGACCTCAGCTTCTGTTTGCGGTCAAGCTTGTGCGACCTTTCGCGCGGTATAATTTGTGGACATTTGTAGGACATCCGGAACCTGGTCGCAGTACGCATCCTTGTGGGCACGCGACCAAGGACAACTCTGGACATTACAAAGCGTCATTTGTTGAGAATGTGCCGAGGTGTTCTGCAGTTCCGCATCGTGTCGCGGTACAGCTCCAACCACGTGCGCGGCCGCAGAGTCCCTGAGTCGCAGTTCGAACGTCTCGGTGTGCGCCTTAGGCCCCGGTGCAGATCGACCACAGCGACTCCTTCCGTGAGGGCTGCGCCGCCTGAGGCTTTGTGCGAAAACCGCTTTGGCCAATTTGGGCCTTTGGCATTGCGCGCATTTGGGCGTGTCTCTTCTTTTAGAGGAACCCCCAACAAGGTTTTCGCGAGGAACCCTTGGAACAGGGTGGTTCCTTTTTGGTTTTCCTTTCAAGGCATCCAAAAAGGGCCCCCTCCCGAACGACGGTCACTTCTTTGGGGATTCCGTGATTTTCGCCTAGGTGACCTCCATCACGGTGAACGCAGATCCGCGCGACTGGCGAAATGCCTTGGCCTGCGTGATCCAGGAGGCAGGGCACGCCATGCGAAACCGAACGCGGCCTGGTGAACCGAGCGAGGCGTGGTGGACATGTTGGCTAGATTGGAACGTGGGACTCACTGAATTTCCCTCAAGAACGATTGGGCGGGGAAGACACAAACTCCCATGATTCCCATGTGCCTGTTTTGACCGTGGAGCGCACTGACATGCACACAGATCCGAGCGATTTGCGACTATGGCATCACGGAAAGCGAGATGAAGCGCTACATGGATGCCATGCTGAAGGAATCTTGGGCAGTGCAGAGTCACAAGTCCCAAGCAGCTTGTTCAGTCCATGTGACTCGCCAGGATGTGCAGAAGGGAGTGCAGGAAAACGACACGGTGCCGTCTGAGGCACGCAGAGTGCACTTGTTTTACAGTTGCCTGGTTCAAATTCTTCACGCTTGAGGACCATTTGAACTTCATCATGACGAGTGACGTCTTTGACCACGCTTGATTCTAAGATTATGCAGCGGCGCAGTTCTTGAGCGAGTCTTGCATGGATCGTTGGCTTTTGCTCCGTTTCAATTTCAGAGCAAGCATTTGCATCTCAGGTTGTCATGCATCCTGAGCAGTCGTACTCTGCATTCAAGGAGGCAGTCTGCGGAGAGACTTTGATGTGCAAGTGGCTTGATTCGACTTGCAAGAACAAGTGTCGCGATTACCTGCACAGGTTGCCCCGACAGTCACTATGAAGCAGGCAGCGTGATTCGCTGGGCGATTCGAGAAAGCAACGGCAGAAGCAGAGGTCCATGAGACCGCCAAGTGGATGCTGGGCTTTATCGGCTACTACGGCTTGGCGGCTGCGCCACCGGTCACATCCATTGTGGTGTGCAGGCCTCAGGCAACGGCGCTCCATGCTCTGAATCGTTGCAGTTCAGCTGTTCTGTTTTGAGGTGCACTCCCACACAGGTGTACGAGGACCGTTTTATTGAGAGCCACGATTGTGCATCCTCTGTGTGTGCTGGGTGTCCTGTGTGTCCCGCGTGTTGAGCGGTGTCGCGTCCTTTGCGTCCTTCCAAGCTCCCTAGGAGCACTCTGGAAAGTGGGCAGTCACCTCAACTGTCACGAGAACGCGTGACATGAGACAGACTTGAGGTTCCCTTCAGCATCACGGAGCAGGAGATTGTTGAGCTGCTCCTCTCGGTGGGGCTTCCAAAGTGCTGTAAGCCGAGCTGTATTGATCATATTGATCAATATTCCTGGCCACAAAATGATCATGGGCAACTTGTCCCATTCAGTGGTGAATTGAGGGTCACCCCAAATGTTGACTCTAGGTGCCGGACAAGACCAAGGAGGAGGCCTTGAATCAGGCGATGGGAGAAGCTTCCGAAGCAGCCCCTGCCAGTGCGCCGCATAGGTTGATGTACCTGAAAACCTCCTCTCAGGCCCAAGCTCAGTGGTTTTTGAGAGAGAGAGAGAGAGAGAGAGAGAGAGATGAGAGGTTTAGCGCTAGGAGAGAAGCTTGAGAAGCTCCTGCCGCCGAGCCCGATTGATGCCGCTCGGCCGCCGAACATTTTCCGATGGCGCCCGTCGGCTAAGTCGGCAGCTGAGGCCATGACGGCGTGGCGAGCAGCTTCCCGCAAGGCGTCGTGTGGTTTCTTGCCATGCCTTAAGGAAGCGACCGCAGGTGGACGATCGAACCGGCATTGTCCAGCTCATGCTGCCGAACGGTGCAAGGGCGCGCCGACCGGGGTGAATTCGGGGGACTATCTTCGATGGCAATGCCGCATGCCGCATAGGTAAACTACGCCTGCACTCCAAATGAGTCTCAAGGCGGGTTGGAAGCTGAGACGACCGGCGTCACGCACGCCTGCGCCAAGGGACGATGAGGATTTTGGTCCCGGGGGGTCGTGCCGGGAACTCTGTGAATGGATGAAACTGGAGCGCTGTGACGTGGAAACCTCTCAGTCTTCGGACGACGCGGACGAGCTTGGCTCTGCCATGGTTGGCATCAGGCGCCGTAATTCCTTTGTGCCTCAAAGCTCAAAGCAGCTGCCAAGGACAATCTCTGAATCTGGGGCTGTCGAAATCTGAGACATTTGGCCCCTTAGACATTTGGCCCTATGCGATTTGTTGAGGTCAGCGACTTCTCGCGCGAGCAGATCGAGCTCTTTGCGGTGTCAAATTTGATGAGCGTTCATCTAGTTTGGGCCCTTGCTCTGCATTTGCCAATGCGCGGTAAGATGTTTCCAAGACCAGTGCAATGCAAGGTAGTCCTTGTGTCTTTCAGGATCTGAACCTGGAGTTCTCCTATATTGATGCGAACTTCACCAACACAACTGGCGGCAGCTTGGATTGATGCGCACCTGAAGAGAACGGCCTGGTTGGAGTGTGCCTTCGAAGAAGAAAAGCAAGCAACCAAAACGCGGCCAAGGTCTCAACGCTGTTTGGTCCTCAGACTCAATGGCAGTGTCAGGTTGTTTTCGTCTTGGTCGGGCGAGGTGTTGGAGCTTCTGCATCTCCTCTTCCAGGTGGTTGGAATCAGATTGATCGGAAGCAACCAACTTGGAATGTTATGTTTTTTTCCCCCAGATAGCTGAAAGCTATAGGGGTTCTAACTTCTAATAAAGAAGGAAAAGTGATTTGCGAGATTGAGGGCCGGGTGCTAGGGGGCATGCAGTTTGGGGTGCTGGTGGAGGTGCTGCTTTGCGAGCTTGACGGCCGGGTGCCAGGGGGCATGCAGCTTGGGGTGCTAGTAGTGGAGGTGCTGTTTTGCGAGAGTGATGGTCGGGTGCTAGGGGGCATGCAGTTTGGGGTGTTGGTGGAGGTGCTGTTTTGCGAGATTGACGGCCGGGTGGCATGCAGTTTGGGGTGCTGGCGGAGGTGCTGTTTTGCCAGAGTGATGGCCGGGTGCTAGGGGGCATGCAGTTTGGGGTGTTGGTGGAGGCGCTGTTTTGCGAGAGTGATGGCAGGGTGCTAGGGGGCATGCAGTTTGGGGTGCTGGTGGAGGTGCTGTGTTGCGAGCTTGACGGCCGGGTGCTAGGGGGCATGCAGTTTGGGGTGTTGGTGGAGGTGCTGTTTTGCGAGAGTGATGGCCGGGTGCTAGGGGGCATGCTGCTAGTGGAGGTGCTGTTTTGCGAGAGTGATGGCCGGGTGCTAGGGGGCAGGCAGTTTGGGGTGTTGGTGGAGGTGCTGTTTTGCATGGCCGGGTGCTAGGGGGGCATGCAGTTTGGGGTGCTCGTGGAGGTGCTGTTTTGCGAGAGTGATGGTGGAGGTGCTGATTGACGGCCGGGTGCCAGGTGTGACGTGCTGGTGAAGGTGCTTTGCGAGATTGATGGCCGAGCGCTACGGGGCATGCAGTGGGTGCTGGTGGAGGTGGTGCTTTGCGAGAGTGATGGCCGGGTGCTAGGGGGCATGCAGTTTGGGGTGCTAGTGGAGGTGCTGTTTCGCGAGAGTTGGCCGGGTGCTAAAGGCATTCAGTTTGGGGTGTTGGTGGAGGTGCTGTTTTGCGAGAGTGTTTGCCTGTTTTGCGAGAGTGATGGCCGGGTGCTAGGGGGCATGCAGTTTCGGGTGTTGGTGGAGGTGCTGTTTTGCGAGATTGACGGCCGGGTGCCAGATGTAGTTCGGGGTGCTGGTGCTGTTTTGCGAGCTTGACGCAGTTTGGGGTGGTGGTACAACTGCTGTGTTGGGTTGCCGGGGTTCTAACTTCTAATGAAGAAGTGGGATTGTTTTGCAAGATCGACGGTTGGGAGCTAGGGGGCATGCACTTTGGGGTGCTGGCGCATGTACAGTTTTGAGGTGCTGTTCGGGCTGGTGACAGCACGTGACGGCAAGGTGCTCGGTGCTCGGGGACCTGTCCAATGCTGGTGCGGGTGCTGCGTTGGGGTGCTGTTGGGGCTGCTGTCTTGAGGTGTTGGTGACGGTGTGGGCGCATATGGACGGCAGGGTGCTAGGGCGGGTGCTGTTTCATGATGCCGTTGAACCGGTTCGGACGTTGTTGCTGCTCTAGTAGTCTAACAGTCGTTTGTCATGGTGCGTGGTTCGTGGCTGGTGTGTCATCATGATGTTGTCACCCACGTCATGATGCTGCTGTCACTGCGATGCTGCGATGCTGCGTTATGGTTCGTGGGTGTGGTGGCGCCATGATTGCTGCCAACATCAGGATGATGCTGAATTTCACTACGCCGTCGCGAGAAGATTCGTGGCTGTGGTATCATCATGATGCTGCCTTTTCAATTTTACCATGACCATGATGCTGTTCGCATCACCATGATGCTGTCCGCATCATGGTGGTGCTGTCCGCATGATCGTGATGCTGTCCGCATCATCATGATGCTGTCGAACTCATCAGGACGTCGTCTCTGCCTTTTTTCTGCTAGATATGTGGCGCGGAATCGTTCGTTGCTGGTGCATCAGCATGATGCTGTCAACATCATCATTTTTGCTGCTGAACTCATTAGGACGCTGTCTTCGTGTCTATTTAGCGCACATGCTGAGTGGCTGTGGTATCATCATGATGCTTTCAACATCATCATGATGCTGTCAACATCATCATGATGCCTCGGGAACCATTATGATGCTGCATAATGGTTCGTAGCCGTGATGTGCTATCTGGGGTCTACGCTGGTGTAATTTTTTGTTTAACATACTCTTCTTATTTTCTTCTTCTTGGTTTTGCAACCACTCGTCATCCCATCGGACCTTGTGATCAACCCCCCTATTGGTTGGCTCGTTCTGCAGGAGCCACGCTGGGAAGTCCCCGCATTTGTCCGGGCGCAGCAGGCTTACAAGGCGCCCGGATCGCGAGCCGGCCGATGCGTTTCACCCTGGAGACGCGATCTGAGTCACCTATCAAAACCGATTCGGGCAGATGAAGGTCAGCAAGGGATCATCCCAACCATAAATGGGTCTTTGCATTTTTTTTCATATATTTTTTTCTTCTTCTTTACATGGTTCTGGGAGGGCCAGTTTTTAGTGCCAGGTTTTGGTCATGGCTCACCTCTCCGATTCTGCGTGCAAAACGAATCCCTGGGCCGTTTGATTTGTGGTGCCAGGCTCAAGCCTACGCAGTGCAGAAGTCTTTGGTATGCAGCTGAGCTTTTTGCGGCATGTGCAAATGACAATGGTTTCGAACGCTTTTTCTTGGCACAGCTGTCAGAGTGTGTTCTGACAGGAGCAGAGCACCATGGATCGTTTGATGCGCATGATGTATGATGTCTGGCCCTGATTGTCCACCATGTCCGCTCAGCTGAATCTGCTTCATGTTCGCTAGGATCCTCGTGTTTCAGAAGCCCAAGTGGAAGCCCTGAACAAGCTCACTCTGGCGAAGGTGGAGCGGCTGTTTGTACAAAGCTTCTGCATGCAAGTGGAGTGGAGGTGCGAAGAGCTGTGAGCGGGCAGCTGAGACCACAGGACGGGTGAGAGGTCAGACTCATGTGCCTCCCTTGAGAGGATTGCCTTCGAGCCAATCCGTTGTCATAAAATTGGGACAGGACCTGGAAATCAATCTTGTGGCCGACTTTGAGGGCAGAGGGCACAGCAAGATGGCAGGCGGCTACCTCAGATGGGTTAGGCACCATGGCTAAGGCTTTGCAACTCTTGCAAAAAGCAAGCGGACCTTTTCATCACCCCCCGCTTGTATTGTGTGTGTCGCATTTGCACATAGAGTCAGAGATTTGTAATTGGAGTTGCCTCTTTTTTGGTATGGTTTGCGAAGCAGGGTTTCTTTTTTTGACAGGGCCCCAAGAAAGACTTAAAACCCAGGGATCGATTCTCCTTTTAGGGCAATGATTTGGGTTTCTGGGGGGAAGTCTACCCCTGGGTTTCTGCGTCTATGGTCAAAAAGGTGGATCCCCGTTGCAGGTGTCGAGGGCGGCCTCAGCACCGGAAAGCATCGCGAGGAAGGTGAGCCCGACTTGGAGGAGGTTGAGCTGCCCGAAGCGGCGAAGCAGAGGAGGCGCGCTCACAGCCTGTTTGTCGCATAAGGACCCCCCAAATGGCCCCAAAATCAGCGGCTTTTTTTCTTCTTCTTCTTCTGCTGGTTTCCTCTAAACCAACTTCCCCAGGTGGCAATGGCCCCAAAATCAGTGGCTTCCCTGTTGGTTTCCCTTTAAAGAGTGGCTTGTTTGTTGGTTTCCCTTTAAATGCAACTGCCCTGGTTTCAGGTTCCAAGAGCTGGACGAGGCTCTGTGGAAGTACCTCGGCCTGCTGCCGGCCAGTGATGCGCAGCAGGCGGGAAGCTTGGCCGCGGACTTTTTGATAGTTTCAGTACCCGGGGCAGGTGAACTTGGACAGGCCGCCGCAGATCAACCAGGGAGAGGACGGCAAGCAGCAAGTGACAGGGAACGCCGAAAGTGGGCCAGTTTTTTTTTCTTTTCTCCAAGATTTTGCGCTGGATGAGGAGCTGTCTCCGGAAGATAGGCAACGTACTGCCCATTTGGAGGAGCCTCGTTCAGCCTCGTGCCAGATAAAACTCTCCATCCGGTCCCTGAGGCACGTAGGACCGTAGGAGGTTGAGCGCAGGACAGCGATGAGCGCGCTGTGGCGAACATCGGCGGTGGGGCACCCAACCGCTGGGGTCTTGGCGACAACTACCACAAGGAGGCCAGGAAGTCTTCTGGGCAAAGGTTGCATGGGTGTTTCTTTAGGGGACCCGTCAAAGCAGTGGTTTTCCTTTTAGTTGATCTTGAACACATCCAAAAACGGCAACCAACTCAAAAGAAGACACACCCGCACGTTCACGCCCTGCCAGATCATGACCAAAAAGAAGTTCTCCTGGGACACACCCAACTCGAAGCTCAAGGATCATCCGCCGGCGTCTTAAAAAAAAGCGTTGCGGATGAGCCGCTTGCGGATGAGCCGTCCGCCACCAGGCTTTATCCTTCCACATGCTTGCTGGCGATGCGAGAGGTTGGTTGTCAGAGATTGCCAGAGATGATTTGTGTTGTGTTTTGCGGCTTTCGTGTGAGTGAACTGTGAGAGATCGTGGTTCTTGGCGAAGCGATTTTTTCCGACATGTGCACGTGAATCCGGGCCTATCTTCAAACTCCTGAGACAAACACCCAACTCTCAGGTCATCAACACGCGGCTGTTCTCCACCGCCAGCTCCCTGCAGCTGAGGCATTTCCGCGGTTTGCAACGGGGTGCTTGGCTGAGGTTCGGGACTCCCTGGGCCTCTCCTACGACTGACACACTCGCCTGTTGGCCCTTGCCTTCTGATGTGACGGTTGGCATCGCCAGGCAGTTTCGACCTGTCGCTCTTTGACCGCTTGGAGGCGGGAGCCAACTTGCTGCGGCGTGAAAACGGAGTTGTTTGCCCCGGCTTGCGAAGCCTTGCTACGCATCGTCGGGCTACTCGCGCTGCAGAGTTGTGGCATTTCATTTTTCACGGCGCGTTGCGCTTTGCCAAGGCCGGATGGCACAGCTGCACGGTGAGTGCGCATCCGTTTGGCGCTGATGCTAGGCTTGATGAGTCGCATGCAACCCGCTGGAAAGGTCAAGGATCATGGAGGCCGTGAATGCAGCCAAGGGAGTGCTGCAAGGCCGGACGTCACGCCCCTCCAAAGAAACCTGAAAGCCACTGAGGTGTCAAGAGACGTCCCATATCTGAGTTGGAGCTCTCGACAGCCAGAAGGAACCGACTGACGGACGCTGGTCAGATGGCTGGATCGATACCTGCGTGTGAACAGGACCTTGCTGCGACGGCATGAGACTGATCTCCAGAGCAATGAGTTCAGGGCTCAGTTCGCTGCTTTGACCCAGGTGCAAAATGCTTCTACACGTAGCAGTTGTTTTGTCAAAGTGGACATGTTTGTCCTCGTTGCGCAAAGCCATGCGCGCAGGTACTGGATTTCCCTTCTCACCCACCTGCAGTATGATAATCCAAAGGCCTGAATTGATCGCCAGCTTGGATCACGCGATCACCAAACCTTTGGAAGGATATCAGCTGCGTGGGAGACATTGAAATGATGCTGTGACCCAAGAGATCCAGACTTGAAGGAAGGTTCGATTCAAGCTGATTTGTTCTAAGGTTGAATGCCTTGACTTGGAGAGACGTGCAGAATGCATACTTGCCCTGGCCCAAGGGCTTGTCAAGAGCAAGCGATGGTGCGATAGTGCAGCCGCGTTTCACTCGGGGCGCAGGACGCTCCTGACTGAAAGCGAGCAGCTCTTTGTGTCAGTGAGTTGGGCCCTCGATTTGGGACCGGGACCGGGATGGGGACCGGGGCCGACTTGATCGGCCGCTCATCGATTTCCAACCGATTCGACTGAAGGCACGGCCGGACCTGGCTCCAGTTTTGTCTCCGGAGGTGCGGGCCTCGCTCGGTCCCAGCGTTCGGATTTTCGGTTTCGCTGTGGCTCAAAAAGTGGTATCCATGGCACCTTCGCAAATCGGGAAACAAATGGGTATGGGCACCAGCAGGGGACCGCAGGTTTTGGTCCACCAGGGCAAGCCACACGGGGGTTACCCTATCTTTGACCACAGCCAAATAACTAAGACCTGCGCAACCCCGGCTTTTGAGCCATGCAGCTCTCGAAGAGCCGAGGCTCCGCCCCGACGGCGGTGTCCACTCGAGCCCTGAGCGAGGTAATGGTCGACTAGCTTGCTAGCTTGCGAGCTAGGCAACGCAGGTTCCACGACTCCGAAGATGCGCGTTCGAGTCTGCGAGATTTAACGCACCTATCTTTGCAGTTTGTTTCTCAAGCATTTAGAACAAAACCCGTGTGTTCAGCGTTCTCGCTGGAGTACAGAAAGAAAAGGCCGACCGCGCGCTTGGCCCGAACGAGAAGAAGCTCAAGAAAGAATGGTATTCAACGTCAAATTGGCAGAATGTAGGAGCTCCTCTTTGAGCAATTGCCACTCCCAATAATCGGACCAAAGCGGATAGGCAACCATGGCATGTGCTTCCCGTGTTTCCGAAGCTATTGCTCAAATGCGGCGAATCGATGTGAGTGCGATGTTGCCACATGGCTGGTGTCGGCCTTATCAGCTGGCTGGCGTTTGCTCCTTTAGCGCATAGCAGGCGCGGGTCGACGAGGCAGGCTTTTGCAACAGGAGATCGCGGTTTGTTTGGGTGTGCGTGGGAAGGGCCATAGGTTACTTGAAGAGTACGCATGCACGTACCAGCTAGATCAAGACCAATTAGAGATGTCAACCCACTCAGGAGGTCGCAGCGGTGGATCGTCAAGTATATGACTTGGAGTTGCGCGAGCAGGATTTGGAGGTGAATGCATTGTCATTGAAGGAGGGGTCTGGCACGCTCAGATTGCTTGATGCTTCGCTTCGAAAAGACTCGCAAATTCGGTAGGCTGAGGAGACGGCAGAAGAGAGGCAAGTGGCAGAAGCCACAGAAGCCCTACTGCAAAGAGAGGAAAACCTCGCCAAGACCGAGGCATGTGCACAGCTTGACCATTGCACCGTCACTCTCGAATTCACTCCCCAGTGCGACAGGAGCTGTTGGAGGCTTGTGCTTGTTCAGCTCAATTGGCACAGCGGCTTTCGCACGGTGAGGCAGGTGAATGCGTGGGAAGTCCGAAGCGATAGGGGGATGACGGTAGGTGGAACGTCTGGCCGGAACTTTGACGCCTCGGCGACCACTGCTGCTGGTTGAGGCACATTGAGCCACAATCAAAACTCGGGTAGGTTAAGGTTAGTAAGGGGGTAGGCCCAACCATAAACGGGTGCCTTTGTTGCCTCTTTAACTCCTTACATGGTTCTGAGTCCACCAGTCGTCAATACCAGGTTTGGATTGTGGCTGGTTCTGCGAGGCCTGGGCACAGGAGCAGTGGTTGGGGGAGCAATGGCTGCCCTATGCACAGGCGCGTGTCGCGGCTTCAGTTCGGCTCTGCTCCGGCTTCGCGAGGCGCGGCCGCAAGGCAGATGGACGCTGCAACTGGAGCGCTTGGCTACGGGCCGTCCGGGCCGTCCGCCGGGCGCGAGCCTGGGCACGTGGCAGCTGCATTTGAGTGGCGCTCGACTGGCGCGGGAACTCGAAACGTCGGGCTGCGAAGACTTTGTATTTCAGTTGTCGCATTTGTCTTCGAGATGCGCAGGGAACATGTCCGAGATATCAGCGGTTGCTGTCCAGGCTTGGATTTGGGGTGGCCATGCTTTTCTGGATGAAAGGAGGCCGTTGCCAAAGGCAGCCGATCATGGGTGGCGGAAGGTCTTCCAGTCTGCGGAGGTACCCACTCAGACTGAGGACAATGAGATCATAGTCCGATTTACACGCGAGCAGTTTACCATGCGCTTACTGCTGCATCCACTGCATCCTGTCCATGAAGTGCCGGACAGCGAGGCAGGCGATGCGTTGTTGGAAGAGCTCAAAGCAGCAACTTCACGCCACAGCGCGTTGCTGGAACAGCTGAAAGTCATGAGACCTTTGGCTGCAGAAGCCACAGAGGAGGCAGCAAGACTGGTTGCAGCCGCTCGCAACCAGCAGCACCGTGAGTTTATGTCGCTCAGCTCAGAAGCTTCTCTTCTGGCAGAGGAACTAGGTGAAAGTGGAAGTGGGGAAGGACATCAAGATATGCTGGCGGAAAGTGCAGCACATGAGAGACCTGAGCTGACGGATGCGCATGTGCGGTTGGACCATGCCGATGTGTTCTGTGAGTTTTCCGACATTTTGGAGCACGACCAGGGCTATGCCAAGATTGAAGTTAAGATGCGGATTTGCGCAAAATATGGTCAACTGCGATCTGCGGCTTTGATGGCAACTGTGCCACTGGAGGACTACGCATTCCCCTCTTCTGTCATATCCTGGTCCTTCAGAGGCATTCCCCAAGCCTGGGAGCATGGGGTTGAGCGAGAGCTCACTGTGGAACTCCGCCACGTTCCGGAGCTAACCGACTCAACGGGAACGGGCTCGAGCTCTGTATTGAAGCTTCCCTGGAAACTGACCGCTGCCTACAGGCCTTGCCTGTGGCTCAGAGCCGATGTGGATGGAAGCAGCAGCATTGATGAAGAGCTGGTGTTGCCGGTGACATTGGCTCACTTCATGCGGCCTTTGCGCTGCGGACCACGGGCCCTTCAGGCGGTCAGCGAATCGTTGCTGCTTGATTGAGTGCAAGAGCGCAAGGCGAGCTGGCAGGAGGCTTGCCGCAAAAGGCATGACTTGTTCATTCCCGAGCCCCTTGGCTACACACCAGTCAGATTGAGATTTCATTGACCAGATAGTGGCTAAGGTCAGCAGCATTGAGATGGTGTGGGATGCGGCAGGCAATGGGTCGTCTCTTAGAGGAGTCTCAAGTCAACTGTGACAGGTTGAAGCAGCAGCATCCTGTGGAGTCTTTTGCCGCCAAGCGGAGCCCAGCCCTCCTCCACCTCGCATCCCGGCGGTGAATAGTGAATGAGGTCATAACTGCCATGAACTGTTTGGATGAAGAAGGACAAATCGGAAGGCATGGTTGCCAGCAATGGTAACACGCTCAGGCTGCAGTAGTGGGGCAGCTGCCATTCTTCTTGGCGCATCACTTCCAAGCGGAGGACTGATGTCGGGAACCCGCGCGCTTGCGGCCAGCTGCGAGCTTGCAGGTTGCTGCTTCTTGGCCATCAGCGGTGGTGGGGGGGCTCCTGTGGCGCTTTCCAGCTTCTGCAGCAGCCAGGCGCAAGAAATATGCCATGTTTGTTGAGATGTTTTTTCTCCGGCAGGCACTGGCCAGATTGGCGCTTCACGCGGCACAACAGCGATTGATTGGTCTTGAACGTTCCAGCCAAGGCCGGAGCTATGGGTACGGAGGTTTCAGACACAAGTAGAGTTTGGCATGTGCTCTCTTCCTGAACCGCAAGTAGGCCCGTCAACCAACATTCAGTAGCCAACTATGTGGCTGCTTCCTTCTGAAACTCAGGAGGTGTCCTCGAGGAATTGAGAACCATAGGGAGTTGGCCCTGTTTCTGTCTTCATTTTTTGTTCTAAGCGAGCCTTTGTTCCTTCGTGCCCCAGTGCTGTCTGCTGTCGCCGGCGCATGACAGCGCTCACGCTGACCACGTGCATGTCGTGAAGTCAAGTTAGCTAGCTCGTTAGCCAGCTGACTGGCTGGAGAGTCGGGCTAGTTGGCTTGTTAGCTTGCAGGCTTAGCTAGGGGAATGGTTAGGTTGCGCGATAGTTAGATAGTTAATAGTTAGCTTTCGAGCTAGCTCTCCGGTAGCTAGTGCTGGCTTACTAGTTGACTAGTTGGCTGGCTGGAAAGCGAGTCGCTTGGCTAAGTTTTGATGGTCGACCTCCAAGTCAAAAGCACAAGAAATACGGAGTTTGTCATGCTGAGGGTGCAGTGATCAACATGAACAATGCAAAGACACAGTTGGTGATTGTCAGCTCCGCGCAAGTCGGTTCGGTATGTGATGGTCGCACAAGATGAAGAAATGCGAGAAGCGCGTGTTTCTCGAGATCGCGCAAAGTTCGATGGTTGACTAGCTGGCGCAAAGTTTGAGGGTTTTACTCTTGGACGGTTGCGAAACCGGCCAACGGGGGCGACAGAGGTAGTTGGCGCCTATATGCGGAAGGGCCGAGGCCGTGCGTAGAATTGGCATTAGGCGTCCTGACCCCGGGCAGAAGTGCCGAAGTGGTGTCAATGTAGGGCTGTGTGTTTGCCTCAAAGAGTTGCGCAGCGAGTTGCGCAGAGATCTTCGGCGAGGGGTGGCGCGAACAGTGCTTGCGTAGAGCGCGGAATCTAGCGTCAGTCCTTTCTGTAGGTTTTGGATGCCTGGCCATTTGCCGCAAATTGACTGGATATCAGCTTGCACGAGCTACATGCTCGGGAGCTTTCAAGCTGGAGATTCTCCAGCTCGACTTGGAGATTCTGTATTGCTTCTTCTGGCCCCACAATTACCCGTTTGACTTGCAGAACCTTCAGCTTATTTTCCAGCATTCTGCTGAATCAGCTGGTTTTGGCTTGCTTCGCCAGGAAACAGCACTGCGCCTTCAGGGTGGCGTTGAACGCTTCCACGGGTCCATCCCCATAAGTGTGCGCTCGCGAGTTTGCGTGCTTACAGTCTCTCTCGCCCATGATCAGCAAACCGCAAGCTGATTGACAGTGAACTTGTCTGGGCGACGGTGCCTTTTTGTTTGCTTCACAGGATGTTACCCCACAAGCAAAACAGTAGTTTCCTGTGGGATATTTGCTTGGGGTATTTTCTGCGACACCCTCCACTTTGGTGCGGCGCCTGGGAGCACTGGCTGGTCCAAGTGGGTTTTGAACAGCAGGATTAGCGGACACCAACACCTATTTTGAGAAACGCGCTAAGGCAGGATCCGATGTGTCGGCTGGAATGTTGGGCTTCCACACGAAGCCTGTAGCGAGAGGGGGGGCACAGCATGTGGCTCCAGAAGCGAGACCGCCTTAAAGGCAGCCATATTCGGCTTGAGAGAGAACTCGACTTATATATAAAGCCTCCAGATTTTGGGCTTAAGTCACAATGATTCGCTTCGTCCACGGAAGGAGAGTCGGAGCTGGGGCCCGAACCCTTTATCCGGGCATCCGGAAAATGAAGGGAGTCCCTGCGCAAGCAAGTCTGCTCGCGTTTCCTTGGAAGCTTCTTTGCATAGGTGGCTCTCTGCGAGCAAGCTTGTTTGTGCAAGTGTTTCTAGCGCATGCTTCTTTGCAAGCCTTTCTGCGCGGAGTCTTCCGCGGGCAAGTTTCTCCGCGCAAACTTCTCTGCGGGAGTCTTCTACGCCGCTTTCTGAGTGCAAGCTTCTGTAAGCAAGGGAATCTTCTTTGCGCCCATGTAAGCTGCGCAGAAAACTCAATCTTTTGCACCTCGACCGGGGGTTGCGACCCCACCCAACCGCATTGGACAACTATTTCTGTTTTACATAACAAATTTCTAGTTTCTGGGCAAATTCCTCTATGCAAGCTCCCTTTGCATTTTGCTGCTTATCTCTTCTGCGCTGGCAAGCTTGTTTGTGCAATTGTGCTACTGATCAAAACCTTGACATGGGATGACCACGGCGGGAAACCACAAAAAATGATATTTCCCACACACTGGCAAAAGTTGCCCATGGTCATTTGGGGGCCAGGAATATTGATCAACCCCCACGTTTTCTTTGCAAGCCACTTCTATGCGAGTTCTTTGTTCAAGTTATTTGTGCAAGTTTCTCTGCGAAGGGTCTTTGCGCGAGTTGCTCTTTGCAGAACTCAGCTCGAGTCGTCCCGTAGACTGCGCTCTGGCCAGGTGCTTCTAGATGAGATGGATGACACGCTCGACAAAGCCCTGGCGAAAGAGCACATTGGCAAGAGAGCTGTTGAAATTGACCACTCGAAGAATGACATGGACCGAATTTACGTGGACACCTACAACAGAATCGGCTGCCCAGACCAGAACGTCCCGCAGTCTCGTTTGGACTCGTGGCAGTGACAGGGAAAGAACGTTGTCCTCGCCGATATGCTGGCTGACTGCGAGGGGAGTCTTGGATAGTCTAAGACGGATGAATGATATTTGTATCCACCAACTGCTGTTCGGAATAGCCCTTACTCTGAGTCATGCCCGTCGGGAATTGGTGTGCTTGATCATCCTGCACCTTCCATCATCCGAGGGCTCTGAACCAAGATCAAACGCTGCGGGATCGATGCTGTGGCGGCCTGGAAAGTTGCCAGATCCTCACGTGTGATGCGGAAGTCCGTGACTTCTACGACAGAAAACCCCTTGAAGCCAAGGGGGTCGAGGGCGGGACTCTTACGCTGCGACTTTTTTTTGTTGCATTCGCAATTCCAGAGGCTACAGTCATGGAGAGCTTTCCAACCTCCTTGCAAGACCTGAGACTGCACACTGTTGCGTTGCGTCCCACAGCAAAGCAAAATAAATCTGGGGGTTTGCACGGGCCTTTGGAAGATCAAGGGTGAATGTTGAGTCAATGTTGAGTGCATAGAGTCTCCGGGAACACAGAGAGTTTCTCGGGCCTTGCGTCTGAGGGGTCTTTTGTATCTGAAGATGAAGTCGAAGTTCTACCGCATGGTGCAGGATTGCAGGCTGGGCCTTGTGATTTTGTTTCTCATCAACTAAGATAGCAGCTGACAGGAAAGTTCGTTGAGACGAGTCTTTTTAGGGCGGCGCCTAGCTTCTTGTTTGCTGACTCAAACCTTAAAAAGCAAATACCAACTGGACAGCGTCCCAAACCTGCCGTGACATCCAGTTTCGAAGTCCAGGATGCTGTGGGGCCACGGCAAGCGTCAGTTCCTCACTCAGCGCATGGAGGCCATTTCCTGTACCTCCACTTTGTCGTGAGACACCTTCACCGGCCAGTCGGTTGGCGGGATTCCTGGCAGACTAGGAACCCTGAGCCCTTGCGTGTGTTTCCTCCCCTTCACCAGAGTTGCCTCGAGTGCCGCAGAAAGAAGTGGGCAGAGCTAGCTGAACTTCTGGGCGGCGACTTGGCGCGTGGAGTGACTGCTTGGACTGGGCCAGAAACCAAAAGGCGGGAAAAAAGAAAAGGCTGCGGCTCAGATCGTTTTGACCAGCCCTCAATGGAAAGTTGGGAAGGCAAGTGTGCCTCAGTGCCGGGGCATGAAGAAAGTTCCTTGGTTGGGAAACCCGGTTTAGGGTTGGTTTAGGGTTGGTTTAGTTGGTTTAGGGTTGGTTGATTTAGGTTGGTTTAGGGTTGGTTTCGGGTAGAAAGCAAAACATATTGGTTCTTGGTATTTACAAGCTTTAAGTTGGCTAAGAAATTGGGCGAAACAATTTTGGGGGAGCTCATTTCTTAGCAGAAATACACTTGCAGCTTGTTTGATTTGAATCTCAAGCCCTCAATTCCTTAGATAATAATTTCTTTTATTGCGCTTGCACTGTAGTTCGGGTCGATGCGGCTTAGTTTGGAGAATAACGAATTCGTTTGATGAATGTATTTTTAATGCGTGCGATTGAACGATTTTATGTGATTGGCGGTTATGAATATATATATATATATATTTTGAAAAAAAACATCAAAATTAATGTGGTATATGATATATTGCATAATATAGGGCGAATAGAGATATAATATAATGCAGAATTAAGGAAATTATTAATGAATTAAGATATTTGAGGTTTATATATTTTGTTTTTTAATTTAATAATGAAATTATTTATATATTATATTATATTAATTATGATATTTTTGATTTTAAAATATATTTGTTTTGAAAATATTCTTTTAATATATTGGTCTGGTTTTGAGATTTTAAGTTGTTGTAATATATTTTTTATGTGGTTTGGAAGATTTTGATATTTTGGGAGGATTTTATATTTTGTGGAATTTTGGATTATTGTTAGTGAGTTGGAAAGATTATTGGGTTAAAGAATAAGGATATTTTTACCCTCCCCTTTTTTTCTCTTTTTTTTTTATTTTTCCTTTTTTTTTTTCCCTTTCCCCCCCTTTTCCCCCCTTCCTTTTTTTTTTTTTTTTTTTTTTTTCCATTTTTTTTTATATTTTTTTTTTTTTTTTATTATTATACTATTTTTAGGATGAGGAAATATTTATTTAGGTCTTGTTAAGATATTGTCTAATTTCTTCCGGGACTTGGGGAATAAGTGCTTTACCTCGAATATTTACGCTAATGCCTCCATATCGAATCTTTTTTTAAAGATTGCATTCAAAGACTAAACCTTTTTTTCCTTCCATATATATCCCCCGAATATTTCGAGAATCGGCCTCTAAACCATTTTTCCCAAAAACTCCAAATATTTCATCAACAACATTTTATATTTCGGCAAAACAATCCTAACCACCAACTCCCCCTCCTCCAAAAAAAAACATATCACCTCTTCCAAATTATAACCAAAACCATATATATAAAATATATATCTTCCAAAAACAATCCAAACCAATTTTCCAAAATATCCGAGATTTTTCGAAAACACAATCCGGGAAAATACATATAAATACATTTTAATAATAAATTCAAATACTATTTTTTTCTTCTTTTAACATATAAATATCACAACCAATTATATCCATAACATATAAAAAATACAATTCGATCATTTTCCTTCTTTTTTTAATTTTAAATCTCTATTATCAATATTTTGCCTATAAAATCAATCACAATTCAAGTAATACCATTGAATTTCTAACCATCATATTTAAACAAATATACACCAAAATTCGGCTCATAGTTTCACCATTATAAGTTTACAATTTCCAATGCTCGACTCCCCGCTCTCGACTCGCAACTCTCTCTCTCGACTATGAATTTTCGCTTACCCCTTAACTCGTGCGTCTTGACTCAAAACTCTACATTCAAAGAGCTCACGCTTAAATCTCGACTTTTACCTCTCGACCTTTGCCTCTCGACCTTTGCCTCTCGACCTTACTCTCAACGCATAACGTGCAAGTCTCGACTTTCTACTCGCAAGCATTCAACCGGTCTCACGAAATGTTGCAACCCGAGCCGCCTCAGCCCCATGGTCCGATGATTTTTGTATGCGATGACCCCATACACATCGGATGTAAATGAAGCGCTCTCAAAACAAACAGAAGTTGACGAGTTGAAGTGACCGGTATATTTGTTCATTGACTGTGACAGCTACGCAGTTGGAGACAAAGTCACATTTTGCAGATTTGGCGTGCGCCGCTAAGTTGGTCGCTCTTGTTTTCCTCGTCGCGCTATCATTGGCATGCACAGATCGCAGCACTAAGGCGGCGTCCAGTGCGACAAAATAGTCAGCCAGTCAGCAGGCGTTCAAATCCTGGGGCAAATCCTTCGTCTGCTGGGTTTGTTTTAATGGAACCCTAAAAGCGGTGGTGTGCAGTAAGGACACCAGGCACATGACACACATACACAGACACAGCCTCGCCAGAGTGAGTGGAGGCGGAACTACCGAGCTTCACCAATTGCCCCTGAGGTGGCATGACGTGGCTGTTCGGAAGGCGTGCAACACCTGCGCTTGAGGCGTTGCTCAGCCAAGTTGCCCAGCGGCCGTGGGAAAAACAAACACGCCCCATTCTTGGCTTTTTGTGGCTCATTCCCGGGACCTCGAAAAAGAAAACAAAGGGATTACCAGGGGCCCACTGGACAACTGAGCAACACGAGTCGCATCTACAGATGGCTGAAAATGCCGGGTTGCCTGCAAGATTTGGGTGCCGGTAAGGCTGTACAGTTGGAGCAAGTTGGAGGAACAATCTCTGTGTCCCTCAAACCTGCCCATACTCCCATGTTGCATTGACCGCATTCTGCTGCCTGTTCTGGCACGCAGCCCTTATTGGGATGCGCATCTTCAAACCATTGACCCGTTTTGGGGCAAACTCTTGCCGGATTTGGGGCACCCGCTTCGTCTGAGCTGTCCTGCCTGATTGCCTGCTTCTGCCGCTTGACTTCGGACAAAGCGGTGCTGGCCCTGTAAGGAAATCAGAGGACTGCAAACAATGGCCTAGGAACCAAAACAAGCACAAGGAAGAATACAAAGTTCCTGACACAGGCCTCAGATCAATACACATGGTTGATCAATTTATCTGTTCCAAATGTCCTCCACAAAGCCTTCGTTATTAGAAGGTTGGCTGAGACTGCCGATTGCATGCATCACTTGTGAAAACTCGCTAAGCAAGCATTGTCGAGCATTCCAATCATGATTCCAAAAGCTTGGAAATGCGACAATGGGTGTTGAAAGCTGACAGCCCAGGAGTTGTCCGCAGCTTGGGCTTCAAAAATGCAGTCATCTTGCCAGCGAAGCTCAATTCTCGACTCTGCACAGCTGCCAGTCAAGACTTGCCTTGCGAAACCCGCATGCTCGAAACAAGTCAGGACCAATGCATGAACCCCAATCCACGGAAGGAATAACATATTAGGGCTGTCGTGTATCTCCGACCTGATCACGCTAAGGCATGTGAAATGTTCAACTTCGAACCAACTCTTTCATGCCAGCTAGCCTCCAAGAAAGGCTAGGATTCTGTTCTGGTTCAAGTCAAAGCAAGAGCAGAGTGATGAAACTTTGGTTGTTCGGACCGATATTCTCTAAAGCTTGCAAAACCACTAACTTAAGCATATTTACCTCCTTATCTGGTGGGGCCCACAAATTGCCTATCGCCGTGACCATTAAATGGATATTTCTCATTACGACGATCCCACTTAGTTTATTCGACCTGTCTTTAGCTTTGCTCACGGGTCCACCTCACGGGGGTCCAACAACATGGCCCGATTGTTTGCTTCATCAATGGGAGTAATGACAACAAGGCCAGCGAACGGCACCCAAGACATGGAGTATTAATCGAGTCCGAAGCTTCTTTGCGAGAGTAAGAAACGTCGGTTTCCGCGGCTCCTCTCAGGGCTGGGAAACAAACTAACCCAAATAAAGCGAGTTGTTAGGCCCTGATGCTTGCGCTACCTTTCCTCAAAGGTTGGTTTAGTTTTCCTAAAAAGGCTCGGTAGCAGCCACCTCCTGTGTGTGTGTGTGTGTGTCAGCTTTCCTGAAAGATTTGGTAGCAAGCCATGTCTCGTTTTTGCGTGTCAGTTCTGAACAGATTTGGTAGCGTCTTGTTGGCACCAGCTTTCCCAAACACGTGTCCACGCGAGCTTCCTGAAAGATTTGCCGGCCATGTGCTGTGTCCTCACACCCTAAACATCCAGCTTCAACCAGCCTTACTCCCACCTCACCGAATTTACCTTACCCTACCCCACAACCACCGACAGCCTTAGACCAACCCTCAACCAAACTCACCGCAAACCCGCCCTACCCCAAGCCTCAACCAACCACCCTAGAACCCACCCTCAACCCACCCTACACCAACCTTCAACACCCGCACTGTTGACCCACCATACAACCCACTTGAAACCAACCCCAAACCAACCCAATCCTATCCTAAGCCCGGCATGTTACAGGCAACGTTCCCAAAACAAATGTTGCAAAACAAGAGCAAGTGTTTTTGTGGACACAACAAACTTCTGGCAAAACGTGCAAAGAAACACTCGCACCCCGAGAGAACGCAATTCCAACAACCGGCTTCCCTTTTAGGAGTCAAAGAACCACTCGGCCGGGCGGCAAATGCTCCACACGTCCCCGGTCGTACCTCTGGCAAATGGACTCTGACGATGCTCGCAGGCATGCCGCAGCCCCGTCCTGCACACAGAAACACCGACCCCAAGACCCATCCATGTTCTTGTGACTTGAACTTGCTGGTGCTGTCGAACAAAAAACGACACTAATAAACCTCTCCCCCCTCTAAAACCACACTGCAAGCCCTAACTCCATCACATGTTGGCGTAGAGACCTCCTGTGGACCTCGAAACAAAAGTGAGGCAGGTTTCCTAAACTGATTGCACCATAAATTGCTATGGGACCGGCTCAGTTCAAAAGAATTGGCATCGCAAAGGAGGGGCTTCTCCGGTTTTCGGTGAACCTTGGGACAGGAAAGGCAGCACCGCTCCGACAGGAGATATGGAGCACGTCTCAGGTTTAGCTTCCCATTCTCAGCCGAACAGCACTCGGCCAAAAGCAAAGCCTCTGGGCTCGGGAAGTGGACCCTGCAGTCTCTAGGCTTCAGGATCAAAGCTCCATTCGAATGAACGGTTTCCCCCCCTTCTGCCGTATGAACCATGGCTGCAATCAAGGAGCTAGGACTTGTGACAAGTCCTATACAGAAGCAGCTGGGCGAGGCCCCTTCGGTTTCGGCGGATTCATGCCATGGCTTCCATACCATGCTTGATTCTTGAGGGGTCCTTATGTCAGTTTTTGGGGGTGATCAAAGTCAGACTTGGGGGGCTGTTTCCCTTTAGCCCACCACTTAGGGGGTGACTTTGACCATGGTAAAGCAATGAGGCCAGTTCTTGCTTGCGCTCCGGTGCGCGAGTGAGGCTGCAAAAAGCCAGGCCTTGGGGCTCTTAGGCATGCCCAAAAAAGGGTTTGTGCAACAGAAGCAAATGGGAACCGCAGTCGACTACGCCCAACTTATTGAAAACGTAGGTTGGCCACACCCAACTCCAGGGACACGAGAAACGCGCATGATTGACAAAACCAACCAGGCACCATTCGCTTCTCCTCTTCCAAATTATTGAATACAGCCCTTATGTTGTATAATATCAAGGAATTGTAGGTCCGTTTCCTGAAGTAGGGCGTGCTGCGTGCGACCCAGCTCAAAGAAAACACATGCTTGAGCTGCGACACACAGAAGCAAACAAACCAAAACCAACCAACCAAGCAGCCAAACAAAGCGAAAACAAAACAGACACACACACACACACAAAAACAAAAAAAACAGAACAAACAAAACAACCACACACACAAACAAACAAAAACACAGGCAAACACACACACACACACACAAAAACAAACAACCACACAAACTAGCAAATACAAACAAACAATCAAACAACACAAAAACAAAACAAACAAACTAAACAAACACACACACACACAACAAACAAACGAACAAACAAACAAAACAAACACAAACAAACAAACAGACCGACAGACCAAAAAACACACAAACCACAAACACCCCCCCCCCAACACAAAAACGCAAAAACAAACACACACACACAACCACGAACAAACAAGCAAACAAAGCAACGAAGAAACCAAGAAACAAAAAAAGAAACAAACAAACAAAGAAAGAAAGACACAAACAAAACAAACAAACAACCACACAACCAAGCAAGCAAGCAAGCAAGCAAGCAAGCAAGCAAGCAAGCAAGCAAGCATCTAGCTAGCTAGCAAACAAATAAACACACAAAGAAACAAACAAAATAAACAACCACACAAACAGACACATACAGACAAACAGACAGACAGACAGGCAGATAGACAGACGGACAAACAAACAAACAGCCAAACAGACAGACAAACACACAAACACACACACACACTCAAAAAGACAGAAACACAAAAAACACACACACATACACACACGCGCGCAAATACACATACACAAACCAACATAGTCTATTTTAGTTTCCTCAAGGGGTGCGCGTTGGGGGCGGGGTCCAAACGCTAGTGGGATTAGTACAAAGCGATGAGGGCTTTCGCAGGCCTCGTCATGGGGATGTGTGCCCACCTTCTTCTTTGGAGGGTGTTCCCCATCAAAAACATCGCCAACATACGAAAGGTGAGTGACAATCAAAACCTGGTATTCAACTGGTCGACCCAGAACCATGTAAAGAAGTAAGAAGGCGGCCGCAACTATTTATGGCTGGGACTTTTCCTTACTAACCTTCACTTACCCAGGTTTTGATTGTGACTCAGGTGATCTTGGACTCACCCAAAAATAACAACCAACCATCCGCCGGCGATTTATTTTTAACAAGGCTTTGACTCCCGGCCGTTGGCATACCCCAAAACAACATCGACATCGACTGAAGGGTCCTCGTTCACTCGGGGCATGACGAACTCCACGTCCGATGGGCCCACGCGCCGCTTGCTGCGGAGATAAAGAACCCCCATCTCGCGGGCTCCTGTGTCTTTCCCATATGCGCGCGTACGTGGGTGCGTGGGTGCGAGCGTGCGTGCGTGTTTTCAGGGCGCCCTTTGTACCTTCGGCTTCGGAATGCGCAACAAACGGTTCGCAAAGATGCAGATGGACAACCGCAGCTTTTTGGATCCCGGCATTCTGACAAGCATTTATTCTGATGATGGACAATATCCACTTCGCACCGGTTGCCGGGTTTTCAATCAGGGGTAATCATTCAGCTTCTTTCCCACAGACAAGTTGTGAAGTTCTAAGATTTGTTGTCTTGCTGGTGCTTAGCAGGGAATGACCAGGGTTTTGGGAATGAACCTGGGGATTCCCCTAAAGAAAACCACAAAGGATGTCTTGTACATTCTCCCATTGCTTACTGAGAACCAGCAAGTTGTTCAGCTACAGTAGGTGCAAAATCCAACCGCTGATGATAGTTTGGATCTTCTACCAAGCATTCAACTTCCCGACGTCACTAGAGACGTCATGCTGGGCGTTATAAGGGTACCCCTAAGATTAAGTTCCTTTCAGCTTTCCTTGCACATCTCCCTTAAACACCTGTTTCGCAAATTCTCGATGCCAAGCGTACCGTTACGGCTGGATGTGACACAGCAGGCGTGACATGTGGCAAAAGCCCCTTAGCTGGCCAGGAAGTCATGGAGGGCGCGTGGGAAGCCGCCCGTGCTTCAAATTGCCTCACATCCTCTTCCAGTGGGAACGAGTGCTACATTTAGTCCTAAACAACACCCGGTATTAAAATGTTCTACTCAGAATGCCAAGAATTAAGAAGGCGGATATCCGCAGCTGTTTACAGTTGAGATTGTCCCTCACTAACCTTCATCTACCCGGGCTTTGATTGTGGCTCACTTGGGCCCGAAAAAGTCCGAATTGGTTTTGACAAATTCCCACATGCCTCAAGCTTAAAAAAGGATTGAACCCTCAAGGATTGAACGCAGGCTTCTTGGGTAAAGCACCCATTGCCCCCTGATAACCATTGGGGCCTCCCATCTCCGTCATCCGCCAGCATCTGGGGGTGCACACAAATTATATGCTCAGATTCTGCTTCACATAAAGTCGACTTGAAACACAAATGGTTTGGGAGGATATTCCACATATCCTTGGTTGACGTTGGAAGGGGCGCAACAATTTAAATTTTAGCAGTTCAGTGGGGATTTTCATCACTAAATCACAACAAGCAAAAATGGGAACATGTTTCCCAACAACCATGAAGTATCTAGGGAAATCACTGAGCCTCCCCTGTCCTGAGCTGGTCGCGTCATCGTAGAGGGCATAGGCCTGCGATCGAATGTCTCGAAGCAGCAGAGCGGCGAGCCCGGCTCGCAGCCGCCCAAAGACATTGCTTCCGGATTTATGGGATCAACTCCGCAACTACGGCGTTCCAAAGACATCCAGGTGTGTCGCAATCAAAACCTGGCACTAGAATGATCTACCCAGAACCATGTACAGGATTAAGCACCCCCGCATTCTGAGAAACACCCCTGCTTCTCCCGCCGCGCCTTGTGTGACAACGGCCGGTGGATTCTCGCTCGGTACTTCTCCAAGCCCTAGCCAAGGGACGGACGTGATCCATCCGCATGAGCGGAGGAAACACCCGGAAGGTCGAAAAGCTCAGATGGGTGAGTTGAAGGTTAGGGGGTAATCATGGTAGTCCTTTGGGCCTTGCCACAAAAGCTTCGGGGCTAAAGCACCAAGTACGGGCTCGCCCGTCGTTTTTCAGGCTCCGATCTTCGATGTGACTGACATCGATCGGCGTCCCCTTTCGCTCTTCCCCATCCTCGATCCGGATGGCGAAGTTTCGTCCGGCTCCTGAAAAGCAATCCATGGCTTTGACCATGACTGTGCTTTGCACGTCTGATGGACAACATCTTGCACCAGTTGATAGGTGGCGTATCCCATATCTATAGGGTTTCATCCCTGGCGCTATTTTGTCCAGCCACAGCATTCTGAGTAGGATGCCGCACTCATGATTGTCCTTTGGTGCAACCAGAACATGTTTAGGGCCCCCATATCGGAAGAATAACATGGGAACCTGTGGAGTATGGGGGACCCTTCAAAAGCCTGGTGCCCCATTGGGATCTTGAGCATGGCTCCGCTGGGAACTGGTAGTGGGACGCAACACCTCTATGGCTGGCTCGTCTTGGGTACTGCTCTTTGGTAAACTTTCAGCCCAAACCGAACATCATTTTGGGGCCGACAAACAGACAAGCCCATATCCCTACTTAATTGGCTTCCCAAACAATATCGCACACTCAGCATGGGTGTCCTCCTGGCTTCTTGGTGGCACTGAGCGAGTAGATCTCATGGGAGGTGTAGAGGAAGGACTGCATGCCACCTGTTCGGCCGTCCAAGTCTTCGGCAAGCTCCTCTTTTGTGGACCGAACGCTTTTTCGGCTGGTTGTGTTGGAACAAGTGGAAACAAAAAAAAGGGGACGTCCTCCATGTGTTTTGGATGTTTCCTTTTGACACATCTCCGTTCCCCCCCCCCCCCTCGCGCTTCACCCTGCCTTCGTGAATATGGAAGGTGCCCTCACCCGAAGACCCCCGCGGCACCGGGTTCAGCAGCAACGCCCGCGCCTGCGCTTAGATTCAGCCCGGTGACCCGAACTCGATTTTCGGCGGCAGTGACCAAGGGCAATTCCGCCACTGTTCACATGCCATAGGAGATTCCATAGCAAGGGGAGCCAGAGCCTGGCCGCTCCTCGATGACGTTTGGACTTCTCGGGGTTCATTCTTAGTGAGAAAGCACAAAGGGAGAAGGGCTCCAATAAACAAGTGGAATCCAACTGCAGCCGGCCTCCGAATTGTCGAACATGGGCTGCTAATCGAAGGGACATGGTTGACTTCACTGGATATCACTGGATAACTGGGTGTCATGTAATTCTGAAATATAGAGGCAATGCAGTCGTGATCAACTGTTCGCTGCCAAAGATCGGCAATTCGCAGCCCAGTTTGCTCGTCCCGCCTTATCCACGTACACATGGGCATGCTTTCAAGCCACACTCTCGGAAGCACATTTTGCACACCACACACAAATAAGTCCATCATCTTGACCAGCAGAATGTACTTTTCTCTGCTGAAGGCATGCGTGGGACTTTCGCTTTGGTGCTGCCGAAGAACGCTCCCGAAGCTTCGGATCGAGCCTGCAGCCCGTGCCAAATGCCGGCCGTCGCGTGGCCCTTCACAGGGCCTCAGCGTGTTCGCCCCCCCCCCCTACCCCCAGCCCCCGACCCGAGGGCACCATCCCATGGGGGGGGGGAAGGGGGGGGCCCTGTACCACAGGGAGCATATCCAACAGGGCTGAACTGACATGCTTGATGGGCAGTGGAGCAAAACACAAAACTGGACTGAGTCTTCTCAGTCAAGTGTAGCATCGATGTCGAACGGAGATTCGGGCCCGATCCTGAGGCTGTTCACACTGTTGCACAAAGTTCTTGGGGCTCCTGTGGTGCACATCATCTAAGAAACTGAAGGGTTTAAGTGCAGGTTTAGGGTTTGATAGGGTTTGGTTTGCAAGCACCTTGCATTGAAGGGCTGCAAATTGAACAATATTGCAAGGAACCTGCTAGGAGCAAAAATGAGAAGAGGAGGACACACAAAAAATAATAATACAAAAAACAAGTTGGAGTGTACCTGGAGTCTTGGTTGCCGTTGACCCCCCTGCACAAGTTCAACTTTTTGGGGGCTTAGTGGAAACTCCCTTGATTTCAACCAAAAAAAATAAGTCTAAAGATCCAACCCAATAGCAGTACCTGGAGTTGTTTTTCCTCTGCCTTGCCCCCCCCCCCCTGCACTGCGCAGCCCTCATGAGGCGCCAAGAAAAACGAGTCGGGACCCCCGCCCTTGAGGCGGCTGGAGTTGAAGATGACGTGCAGCGTCTGCTCCAAGCCCACCAGCCGCAACTGGCCGCAACTTCAGCATCACCCAAGGAGGAAACTGGACTGAAGCTCCCGAACGGTGCTGTCGAAACTTTCGGATATAGGCAAGCTGCTGCCAAAAGGTACTCAAGCTATACAAAAAATGCCGGGTCGCTATGACAAGCAACTACAAACCTACTTGTCTTGTCTCTCCGAGTCGCTTCAGGGCCTCCGGTGGTGGGGGGCTTTGCATAGTCAGGACATTGCACGGCATGGCATAGAACCATCATATCACAAGTATGTGCCTCTGCATAGAACAAGCAAAAAAACAAACAGACAAGCAAACAAGCAAACAACAAAAACCAACACCAATGAGCAAGCAAGCAGGCAGGCAGGCAGGCAGGCAAGCAACCAAGCAAACCAAGAAACAACCACAGCCAAGCAACCAAGCAAGCAAGCAAAGAGTCAACGAAAGCAACTAGCAAATCAACAAACAAACAAATCAACAACACACACACACAGAGATACGTACACATAAACACACAAAACAACCAACCGACAAACAAACACACAAAAGAACAAGCAAACACCACGAACACCACAAACACACCAACAAACCAAAACAACCCACGAGCCAACAAACAAATAAGCAAACAAAGAACAAGAAAACAAGCAAGCAAGCAAGCAAACCAACACGTTTATCAACCAAAAGCAACAAACAAAGACCACAGGAAGTAAAAAAGACAGACGAAGTGAAAGACATATAGATAAATCAAGAAAGCAAATCACAAAAAAACAAGCAAACACGCAAAGAAAAACGAAACACACACACAAACACACACACAAACACACAACAAACGAAGAAACTAACAAACCAAAACAACCAACACAAAACAAAACAAGACAAAACAAACAAACACAAACAAACACACAAACAAAATAAGCCACAAAGAAACACACACAGACAACACAAACAAACAAACCAGCCAAAACCACCAACAGCAACCAACCCACAAACAACAACAAAAACGAAAAAAAACAACAACACCAACCAACCAACCAACCGACCGACCGACCAAACAAACAAACAAGCAAACAAACAAACAAAACCAACAAACGCACACAAACAAACAAACAAACAAGCTGAAAAGGCAGTGGGTTATCAGTATCTACAAACAAGGTCCATGCACTCTGACAGTCTCTCAGCAGTACTCTTTCCTGTCTTGAGCCATGCAGTTGCATGACAGTCCTGACAGTAGCGGTGCGCACTGGGTTCAGTGTCCTTTAACACTCCCCCTTGAAACAGTACATCATACTTTTCACAATAATGAACAGTTCTAACGCAAAGCAGTCCAAACAGTCTACTTCGTGATCTTAGGAGGGGCTTCGCAGTCAACCTCTGTACGCCACTGGTTTAGGGTAGCAGTTCTTCGTGCAGCGCAATGTCAGCGTGTCAGCGTGACAACATTCTGTACAGTTGTCACAGGTGATGCAAACCGTATCTCATAGAGTGTGAGTTGATGCATCAGTACCTGAGCAAATCAAGCTGCGAGCAACAGTGCACTTGCTCGCTCAAGCTTCGTGCCGTCGACAGTCACAGTGATTGACTGTACCAAACGCACTCCAGCCAGTTGCAAAGTGAACTTTCCCAGTGAGTCTCTCTTCCGAGAAACTGTCTTGATCTTCGCATCCTCAGTGTCTTCCTGGGTCAGTGTGCCAAATTGAGCGTTGGCAGTGCAAATGTTCAGGCCGGTGTCCAGTGAGGCTGCAGTATGCAAGTGGTGAACAGTGTTGAAGTTGCAGTGATTGCGAAGTCCATCCAGAAGTCTGCTGGCTGTCCATGGCAGCGTCATCGCACAGCAGTCAAAATTGACTGCTCACTCACAGTCCACGACTCAGATCCCCCATCAGTGCAAATGCAGTGAGAGAGATACAGTTGGCTGAACTCA